TAAAAAAATTCTATATTTAAATTTATAATGTGCTTCATTTTAATAATTTATATAAATTAATAACTATTATTATTATTATTTTAATTTTGCAATATATTTTTTATAAACTTTAATACTTTACATCACAATTTAATTATAAAAAATAATTTTATTGAGCTATAAAAAAAGTATAATTTGCACAAACGTTAGCATCCTTATTAAGCTGTAGCTGTAGTACTTTAAAAAGAATAAATATTGGAGGTTGTTAAACATGCCACATGGCTCTTGAAATTCGTAAATTGATGGAATTATAATTTTGATTGAGAAATCCACTAAAAAGTTTATTGCTTTTAAAAAAATTGACTCAAAATCGAAATAATTTTGAGCTCTTTATTGAGATAAGGCTGTTTTTTTAGAGAGGTACGATTAAAAAGTCTCAATTGTCCTTGTTAACAATACTCCTGTATGAGTTAATTATTTTTAAAAGTAATGAACAATTTGAGATATTATTTCTCATCTATTCAACCAAAAGGGCATTGATGTTCCCAGCTCTTTTGTTAGAAACATCAAACTGTATTACTATAAAAAAAAAAATACTGGATATTGTTGAAAATTTTCCTACTAACAATGATTCAGATGCAAAATGAATGATTTTGTTAATTTAATAACAGACCAAGGTCCAGTAAAAAGCTGACGGTGCGAGAGCTATCAAATTTTCACGCGCTACCTTTTGAGGGTAGTAAACAATCGGTGGGAAGAGTTGGCCGTCGGAAATTGATAAATAAATGCGAGAGCGGGCATAACGCACAGGCCGGCCAGTTAACGCGCGCAAACGGGCGTTGATTTCGCCTAACTGCGGTGCGCAAACAATGCTCTCTAGATGGTGAAAATTTCATGGCTCGCTCGCCGGCAGCGCGTTGGATTTTTATTAAAAAATAAAGCACACCCGCTTTGTTTGTCCGCGCCATAGTTTGTTTGCTCTCGGCGGATGCTGCTATATTTTTAATTGAATTCCTGTCGCAATCACGCAGCCGAGTGTGTTCATTTTCGGGCCGTTTACGGGTCACGTACGATTGTGAATTATCGTGACCACGTTTTCTCGCGCTCTCTGCTTCGCAATTGCTTTTCTGCTGCGGGCATCACGTGGTTTATTAAAGGAGATTTTGCAATTCCCGGAATCCACTAGTTTCTCTTTGATACTTTATGTTTTTATTACATAAATTTGTACAACAAAAATGGATCGCCAAAAGCTAACAAAAACAATATAATATGCTTCATGACCAGGAACATAAAATTAATATATTTTCATTTCAAACTCGGAAAATTTGATTCTAAAGAGAAATTGTATGGACTTTCTCCTCATTTTAACTCACCGCAGACGAGAAATGCTCAACAATTTTGTAACTTGCTGTTTTCAGCTTCAACCTAATTTTAGGGAAAAGATGAGTTTCTGAGGAATGAATGGCTTGATACTAACTAAGAAGTTAAATTTATTATGCCTCAAGTTTTACCTCAGGCATGAAATTTAGTTCAATTCTCTCTCAAAAGGTAAAAAAAGTAAAGGAAAAGGAACATACTTTTGATAAATTGCATAGCCATTATTACAAAATCAAGTGATCCAAGTAATGCTTAAAATTTTTTAAATTAATCATGCATCATGCTACAGCCAAATAATCCTTGTTGGGCGGGGGGGGGGGGGGGAGCAATATTATGCTTTTAAAAACTATGAAACTCATTCAGTCCTGATTGAAGATGAAGTTTATAAATTTGAGATTAATAAAATTACTTTAATTAATCTAATTATGTTTTAGTAAATTTTTAAAATAAAAATAACATTATAATAATTGTTTTAGCATTTATATTCTAGATATATTTGTAGTATTTTGATAATTTAATAATAAAATAATTAAAAACTTCATCATTTACATTTATAATTGTTTTCTGATTGTTTTTGATTTAATGTATAATAAAAAATAAAAAAATAAAAATTTTATATAACAGCCAATGCTTAATAATTTACCTTTTATTTAAAAAATACATCCAGCCATCTTGGTATCTTGACCTTTTATTGTAAACTACACAATTTGTTAAATTATATTGATAAGAATGAGAATTAATAAAAATAAATTAAGAAATTCTATGGATTCCATTAAGTTAATTCAAAGCATTATATGAAATTCTTAACAATGTGTAGATAACTCATATATTATTTGTTTTGGGTTTCAAGTTACAAAGCAGAACTACAAAACAAGGAAGAAATGAGCCTCTTATGAATGAATGGCTTGATACTAAGGAGATAAAGTTATTTGATCAAATTTTTTACCTCGGCCATAAAATTTGGTTCTATTTTTACACAAAAAGAAAGAACGGCTTTTTATATAGTATAATTGAATAGCCATTATTTTTAAATCGAGTGATTCAAGTTATGCTTAATTATTTATTTATTGAGAATTTAAAACCCAAAGAAACCACTCGAAACGGGAAATAATTAAATTAGTACTGTGACTAATCGCCTTGACGTGTGGAATTACGTTCCGAGACGACAAGATATTTTCGTCGTGCACAGGTCGTGCAGTGTAAAAATATTATTATTCTCTTTTTATTTCTCTTTATGAATCCTAAAAAATATGCATTATATGTACTGTTAATTTCGTTGATTTTACAGACAATCAATACATGTTAAGAAATTCGCTCCCCCAATTTAGAAATCCGTTAAGTCGCTTCTTGTTTTGATCCGTGATTTATGTAAGCTTCTTTACAGATTGTCCAGGTCAAATGTCAATCATTTTAAGTGCTTAAGATTACTCATGCATTTATACCAGACTAGCTCAAAAAATCCATATTGTCACTTTTGCTTTTCGCGTTTTTTTTTTATGCAGGGAATGTTGGAAGAGACTTTAATCAAGTGAAAGCTCTGGACGCGCCGGGCTGTGGGTGTTTTGCCTTTTCGAAACGCAATTTCTGCGGAGATTGTGTCTTGTTTTCTTGTGATTATTGTTTATGTTGGCAGCGCACGAGTGTGCGGGCGAGCGAGCGAGCCGAGAGTCTCTGGCGCTATCCCGTGACCGAGGGCGATACAAGAGCCACAATAAACACGCAATTCGCCCACTTGATAAAATGTAAGTTTGAGAGCGAGAGCTCTCCTCGTGTTTTGCTACTCTTCGCCCGCCCGCCCTAATAAATATGTTTTGCGACCGCAGTTCTCTCGCCCATTGTACCTCGTTGAATTAACCTCAAATCTTGACCACTCATTCGCAACACCGTGCCGGCCAAAATATTGCTTTTACCAAATGCAATAGAAAAAAAACATTCTGAAATCCCACTGGAAAGGATGATAATGTTGATATAAAGTCAACATGCTATTTAATTTTAGCTTCATACTAAATTAATGGAAAAAAAACATCATCATGATCATTTAATTAAATAAAATTTCAAATTTTATTGCTCATTAATTTTCCATTCATTGTTGGCTTTACAAAATAAATGTCGGTGTTTTATTATTTTAATTATAGGTAATTTAATTTATTATTTATAAACAGGAATGAACATTTGTTTGAAAAATTTAAAAAAAAATGTAATTTCCAGTGAATGGTGAAAGCCTGCATTAAAATGACTCTGAAATTATGGAGATAATGGAAAACAAGCAACACAGATCGAAGCAGACAAGCGGCTCAATATCTCTCACTATGTGCTGTGGAATTGTAAATTTGGGCCCTAATTAGGCATGGCAGTGACATTAGCGACAAAATTATTCATGCATCGCTCCGGCCATCAGTCAAAATACGTGTCCACTCGGCTTTGAAAGCGCGCCTTTGTTCGCTCGCAACACGCAACGTCGCGCGCGCGTGAGCAAATAAATTTAATTTTAATTTCGTCCACACAAAATTGAATGAAAATATCCAGCGGCGATCTCCAACCGCTTGGCAGAAAAACCAACGCGAGCTCCAACAAGGTGATTTGTTTCGGACCTTTTGTGTGGTTTATTTTTCAATAATATTATTCATTAATCATTCCATATTTAATTAGCAAACTCTCCTGAAATGATGATCCCGCATTTCAGAAGTACTTATGTAAATAAAATTTACTTTTCCTTCACATCTTTTTTTCCCTTGTAATTAGTATTTTCCATTCTGAAGATATAACAATGTAAAACAGAGTTTAATATTTATGTTGTGTAAACAGACAATTAAAATAATTTTTATATAATTATTATATAATAAACATAAGTTTTTAAAATTTTCTTATGTAATTTTATTTTCTTTGAATTAAACTAATTTTTAATTTAATAATTTTTTAAATTTGTAAATATATATTTATATATTATATTGTATTTTTATTTATTAAATTTATAAATAAGCTTCTTGTTTTGTTTGATATATTTTTATATTTTATTATTTATCATTTTTTTACAGCATAACTAAATTTTTCAGTAAGTGATTAAAGGTAAAATTACATATCTGAATTTGATCTGTTCTCATATTTTCTAAGAGAATGTCATACATCCATAATTTATAACATTAAATTGCAAAACGATTCTGTAGCCATGCATGCGAGCTTCTCAATGGAATCGAATAGAGTTGATTTTAATTTTCCTTGTTTTTCAGGAAGAAATGTGACAAATGACTCTCATGTGGGAAGGAAATTCAAAGGAAACATTTTTCCTTCATTCACAAAAATTCCGTAAGAGGAAATAAACGTAAAATTTGTGATGTCTTGATTTGCCTGGCAATCAGTGTGCATGTGTTGGCCGGTTGGGAATTTCCTTTGCATTCTTGTCAAGGCATATTTTTCAGAGAAACGCCGGCATAATTGCGCAAGTGGGATAAAAAATAAACTGCCTTAAATCACGAGAGAAAGAGAGAGAGAGAGCGAGATTGTTAGCAATATTATTATCGGAACACGTGGGGGGTGGGATTTCGGTCGGTGGCTGGCGGCGGCGGCGTGTTTTATAGAGTGTGCGCTGCTGCAAATACACTCGGCACGCTCTCGGCGGCTTTGCTTTAGTGTTTCTTTGGCGATCATCGCGCGCACACACACATTTCACCCCCTTCCTCGCCGCCTCCGCTGCCGCCGCCGCCTCCGTCGCCGGCAATCGCGCATTCACTCGCTCCGGACAAGCCTCGCAGGATGTTCCTCCAAGCGCTGCTCCTGGCCCTCGCCGTGGGACAACAGGTCGCGGCTCACGTTGGAGGTAGGACCCTTTGAAATTTTCACCCAATGTAAACCTACGAATTATCAACATCGTGGAACATGTCAAATCGCGTCATTTCTATAAATTAACATTAATTTTTTTCCATCGAATTATAAATGAAACATTTTTCTACGACCAATTAATTTACCACGTTGAGGGGGAATAGTAGGCTTTTAAGTATTATGAAACTTATCAATTTTTGATTGAAGATTTGTTTTTATAAATCAGAGTTTCATAAAATTATTGTAAGGAAACTAAACATGTTCTAGTAAATTCTTAAAATATAAATAACATTAATTGTTTAAAAACCCATAATTATTTTCAGTATTTTGATAATTTAAGAATAATATAATTATTAACTGAATTATTCACATTTTTAAATGTTTATTTCTGATCATTTTTAATTTTATGCATAATTATAAATATACAAACAAATATTCTACATAAGAGCCTACAATTCTCACAATTCTACTAATTACAGTTAAATGGATTCTAGGCACTCTTTTGGATTTCTTCCTTTGAGTTTGAATCTAAATGGAACAATTTATTTAATTCTATCCAGATTCTATCGACAAGAATCAGTACAATTTTTATACAAAGCAACTCTTAAGCTGCAACACAAATGTGAGCAAGACAAGGAAGTTGTCAACTTATTGTTAGTTTTGAGAATTATATAAAGTGTGAGCTGAGCGCATTAGATTTCACCAACATGTGTCCCTTGCATGGAGAACAAAAGTTCTTTTAAAATAGTATAAAAATTAGTGGGTTTGTTCAAAAGAATTTGCATCTAAAGACTAATGGATTATTTTATTTTTAACCGGCTTTATACCTACTTATTTATATTCGAGTTTCAAATATTCCTCAGATATTATTTTTATAAATCAAAAAACATTGTATTAGATTAGGAGACGAATAATTGCTTTTGCATATGCACAAGTTGACAGCGAATCACTTTAAGTGCGGGCGAGCAAGTGATTTCATAGCTGGGTGCATAAGTTGCTGAAATCACGTTAGGGCAGGTGTGTGTGTAATGCAATTTGAACGCGCCGTTTTTAATTTGCCTGCACTCGAGGGGCCTCTAATGAAATCTACCCTCGTTTCAACCAAACGCACACATTTCGTACCTGCCGCACAAGAAAGTGCCGCGCATCAGAGACTTGTTCAAACACAGAGAGGAAGCCGGACACGCAAGAAAGTAAATTATACGCGTGTATTATTGAAATACGCGCGGCACAACAGGAAGAAGCCGCAGCAGTTGCTCTCTCGAAATACACCTCCAGTTTAATGTTTCCACTCGGCCGGAAAGTTTTGTCCCCGCAAGTATTTCTCTCAAGGGGGAACACAAGAAATCCCTTTGTAACACAAAAATCAAATTCAATTTGGTTGCAAAATGTTAATGAAAGTAAGAAAAAGTACATTGGGTACAAATTGCAGCAATTCTTTATTAGAACAATAACTATTTTATCTTCATAAAATTTTTAAGGTATATTGATAAATTTTTGCAAGTTTTGAGATGAAAATAAAATGAATCGCTTGCAGTAGGATATTTTGTCTTGTTAGTTCAGTGTTTAGTACTTTTTAAGTTTGATCACTCAAAATCTTTTTTTGTGGGCTTAATGTATTGATTCCTTTCCTAACAGAGATTTCAAACTTAAAACCAGTGGCAATAAAACCTTCACTAGGGCAGGGAAAATTTTTATTTTTTATTTTAAATAAAATCGCAATTTTTAAGAAAAATGTAATGAATAGAAAACAAGAGGTGAGGAGATAATTTTTTTAATTCTAATATTAAAATAAACAGAGGACTGTTAATTACAGGGGATGAAAACAAAACATAAATTAGTTTTTCGGGTACAAAAGCAAATTACGATCTCGAAAAATTCTTCAAATTATTGCAATGAATGTAGAAAATATCCGATGAAATGAATAAATCTCTTAATTTTCCAAAATCACATCGTTATGAAAATTCATAAAAGTTAATTTTGCAATCCAGGCTAAAATGGAGCTTTTGAGACAATTTTTTAAAATAAAGATAAAAACTTTTATTCCCAGTACCAACCCAGAGGTGTGTCTTGGGAAGATAAAATTAAAATTGTTAATAAAACATTTTTACAGATTGCTAAGTTTTTTATTACATACATTATATTTTCCTATATTTTGTGCAATGTAGTTTTTATGCACAAAAAATGGCGCTCTCTGCAAATAGGGAAATATTCCTTGTATTTGCTTTTGTTTTTCTTCATTAAGACCGTCTGTGAGCGGCAACAACTATGCGCAAGCCAAGTTTTCCTCATTTCAACCCGCTTACAAGAAGTTTCTCCGGACTGGGAAAGTGAGCGAGTTTTCCGAGACTCGTTTGTGGTTTGACAGTCCGCAGTAGCAATGCAGCGCGGCAATCGCGTGTCAAAAATACCTGCCCCGTTTTTCCATTTTTCCAGGAAACTGAACTCGGGAAATAAATTCATGAAGTGGAGGTCGAGTTTCCATTTTTTTGATCACAGTTTTTCTGCCCTTTTTATTTTTTTTGCATTTGAAATAAATTTCACGCCGAAAAAGATCCTGGTTTATTGGCGGATTGTCTCTCTTGAGGAGGATATTTATTTTTATTTATTTATTATATGAGACGGCAACAGCTCGAAGCGGGAGTGGAGCTTCAAATAAACGAATGCCAAACACAGAGAGAGAGAGAAAAGTGCAGCTCGTTTTTATTATTTCAAGTGCCCGAGGGGATGTTTGATTTTTGTGTTCTGGATGCAGCGCTGTTGAATATTATTTCCCCACATGGTTGCAGAATAAAAGCTTTTGAGACTGAAACATCTGAAAGTGATCGATAGCAAAATAATAAAAAAAATCAAGCGTATATCAGGACAAAAAAAACACAAAATTCCTGCCCATGCTAAAGGATTTGAATATCCGCGGACAAAGGCGATAAAACCGATTACCAATGATGAGCGTATCTTTTTTTTTACCATGAAAATCCCTCTATTCAACATTAGAAAGTGGAATATTAAAACAAAAATATAATATAATTTAAAACATTGGTAAATCTAACGTGGGATTATAGAAATTTGGTACAGATTATAAATTTAATTTTTTTTCTTATAAATACTCTGCACTGAAAAAGCACATGTAACTTTTACACAGGCTCCAAAACCATTATTGTTAGTTTTATGTATTGATTCTTATTTCTCAAAAAGACCTTATCCTCCGCAGTGAACCACCGTTGACTAAGTTTTTGTTCTTATGACTAACAATATTAAAAAAAAAATATTTAAAAAACGATACTTTTTTGTAAAATTAATTTTCTTGTTTGTAAATTGCATTTTTCATAGAACGTTTCCATACTAATCTATTTATGGTGAAGTTGTTGAATGAAAGTGTACACATTAATTAAAGACTTATATTAATAAAATAAATGAAATTCAATATTTTATTTCTGTCAATAGATTAGGTCCAAAACAAAAAGGGAAAATGATAAATTAGAAACGCAAAAGTAAAATTTCCTACTTCTAAAATAGCGTTTAAAAATATCAGCGGAGATTTTACGTAAAGATTATTTGAAATTAACAGACATTGAGAGAAAATGCTGCCGCGTTTATATGGCAAAATCTTAATTTGGTTGTGAAAAACTCGAATCTCTGTGAGTTGTGCAGATTTTTCGTAAGCTTTGTTAAAACACGGTGTGGATTTCAGGTGCCGGCGGCGTGTTGTTGTGCCGGCAGCAAAATGGATATAGCGGCTCATTATAGCGACGGAGGAGGCCGTTATTAAAACTCCCGCAGGGAAATCTTTATTAATGATTCTCAAGTTGCTGTCAATTAAGCCCAGCGGCCAGCTTGGCGAGGCCTGGCCTGGCTGTGCAGACCAGCAACCCTTCTTTTTCGGAACCACGTGTGCGTAAATAATTGAAATCTCCCTTAATTGCTTTAATAAAATCACTTCAACTCAAATGACTCCGAGAGTGCCGGCGTAATCCAGGCAAAGCCCTCAGCTGTTTGCAGACTTTGCTCTGCGCCGGCTAAACACGCCGAGCCAAACTGGGTGCTAATGGGAGCTCTCCGACGGCCGACGAGGCCCTCGCAGACTTTTAAAGCTCTTTCAATTGAAAACATGCACAATTAAATATTTCTCTGTCATTTTTTTTAATGAAATTTAAAATTTCAAATAAATCAAAAAATTTTTTTAATTAAATACCAAATTACATCGCCGAATAGTTTTAAATGGATGGTAATTAACAGTTATAATTTATTCCTCAAAAAAGCTAATAGCAAATTTAAGATTGAAAAGTCTTCATTACTCGTTTCGCCATGCCATTTATTATAACTTTAAATAACAGCGCTTAACACTGGCAAACATATTCCACTTGACATTTTATATGTACGTATGTGAAGTGTCTGAAAAAACATCCAAAGCTTGTATAAAAAAGCATGCATATGCGGTACAAAAATCAATTCCCGCGAGCGTTGTAAAAATCTACTCGCGCGCGTCCTTGAGAGTTTGCAGTTGCATTGGCAAGCCTTCTTTATGGCGATCACATTACCCATGCCATAAAGTTCCATGCTCATGCACCGACATGCAAATATGTTTTGAGAGAGCGGCGCAGTATGCAATTGAAGGATTATTCATGCAAAGGGTCGAGCGTTTTGTACTCGATCAAAGCAGCCGGTCAGAAAATGCGTCGCCGATATGGGCAAAAATGAGCCGCTCAAGTGCCTCCACGTCCCACAGGAATAACGGCCCTTGACACAAACTGTGTGCTGCAAAATGTTCGCCGATATTACACCAAGAGGTAACTTGTGGTTGGCGGATTTTCTCCCACTAGAGAGTTTTAAAATGTAGAAAAAGGGCAGCGATTAGTAAAATTCGGACGAAAATTTAAATTCAAACCTTTTAAATTGATTCTCCAAGGGTAGAAAGTTATTAATGACACACAATGAACTCACAACAATTCAGATTTACTCTAATTCAGAATTTGAACACCAAGCACAAGCAAGGGTTCA